TGACTGACAAAAAAAAAAAAAAAAGCTGCCTTTTAACCTCATTTTCAGTAATTATTATTATTATTTTTGCCAGTCTTGGTGCTTGACCTCAGGGCCTAGGTGCTGTCCCTGAGCTTCTTTTGCTCAAGGCTAGCCATCTATCATGAGAACCACAGCTCCACTTCGTGCCTTTTCTGTTTATGTGGTCCTGAGGAATGGAAACCAGGGCTTCATGCATGTAAGCAAGTACTTTACCACTAAGCCTCATTCTCAGTCCTCAAGAGACTTTTATCTCCAATAACTAACAAAAAGCTGAGGCTTGTGTGGTAAGCACTAGTTTAGAGTAAGAAAGCTCAGAGACAGCCCTAGGACTAGCACAAACAAAACAAAACAAAATCCAAATTTTGTATGGAGGCATAAAATACACAGAATAGCTAAAGCAATTTCGAATAAAGGGTGTAACACTAGAGACATCACAATACTAGATTTTAAATTGTACTACAGAGCCTTAAAAACAAGAATGGAATGGTGCTGGCACAAAAACAGATCCCAAAATTGGGCACCTGTAGCTTGTGCCTGTAATCTTGGCTATGCAAGAGGTTGAGATCTGAGGATCATGGTTCAAAGCTATCCTGAGCAGAACAGTCCATGAGACTTTTATCTCCGATTAGCCAGTAAAAAGTCAAAAGTGGAGTTTTGCTTTCAGTGGTAAAACTCCAGATGGAACAAGAATTGATAAATGAGACTACATATATCAAATTAAAGTTTCTACACAGCAAAATAAAGTTATCACAGTTGATGGAAAACCCTAGTCAGCTATTTGATGGATAAAAAAATTAATGTCCAGGGGGCTAGAAATGTGGCTTAGTGGTACAGTGCTTGCTTCAATACCACATAAACAGAAAAAGCCGGATGTGGTGCTGTGGTTCACATGGTAGAGTGCTCGCCTTGAGCAAAAGACTCTCAGGGACAGTGCCCAGGCCCTTAGTTCAAGCCTCGGGACTGGCAAAAACAACAACAAAATTAATATCTAAAATATACAAAGCTAAAAAACATTAAAATGGCAAGAAAATAAATAATCTAAAAAGATGGGCAAAAGAACTAACAGTTCTCTCAAGAAGAAATAGAAATAGTTACTATACAGGGGCTGGGAAGGTGGCTCAGTGGTAGAGCGCTTGCCTTGCATGCATGAGGCCCTGGGTTCGATTCCTCAGCACCACATATGCAAAAAGAAAAAAGCCGGAAGTGGTGCTGTAGCTCAAGTGGTAGAGCGCTAGCCTTGAGCTGAAGAACTGAAGGACAGCGCCCAGGCCCAGAGTTCAGGCCCCACGACTGGACCGCCCCCCCCCCCCAAGAAAAGAAATAGTTACTACACAAATGAAGAAATGCTGAGATCTGAGGATTGTAGTTCCAAGCCAGCATAGGCAGAAAAGGCCATGAGACTGTTATCTTCAATTAACCACCAAAAAGCCAGAAGTGGAGCTGTTGCTCAAGTACCATGGTAGACCACTATCCTTGGGCAAAAATATTCAGACAGTGCCTGGTGCTGAGTTCAAGCCTCAGGATTAACACACACCCACACCCACACCCATACTCACACCCTCTCTCTCTCTCTCTCTGACTCAGAATTGAGCCACACAGACATTCCTGCCCCGGCTGGCTTTGAAGCTCAATCCTCAGATCTCAGCCTCCTAGGTAGCTAGGATTACAGGTATGAGCCACTGGCAACCATCTCTTTCTCTTTCTCCCTCCCTCCTTCTCACCCCCTCCATTCTTCTCTTTCTCTCCCTCCCTGCTTCCTTCCTTCCTTCTTTCCTTTCTCTCTCTTTTCCTTCCTTCCTCTCTCCCTTCCTTCCTTCCTTTTTCTTCCTTCCTTCCTACCTTTCCCCCCTCCCTTCCTTCCACTTGTCAGTCATGGGGTTTAAACTAAGGGCCTGGACACTGTCCTTGATTTCTTTTTGCTCAAGGTTAGTGTTCTACCACTTTGAGCCACAGCTCCATTTCTGGTTTTGAGTAGTTAATTTGAGATAAGAGTGTTTTTCATGGGGACTTCTTTGCCTGGGCTGGCTTCAAATTTTGATCCTTAGATCTTAGCCTCCTGAGTAGCTACGACTATAGCTGTGAGCTACCAGTGCCAGCTGAGAAAAATATTTCTTTATCCAAATGTTCACAACATAATTAAGGGAAAAAGTGTAAGATAACATGTATTTAATAAAAACCTATCACTCAATTCCTATACTTGAATTTATTCAAGTATTATATGGCAAGAAAGCCAATGTGACAATGCAGACTAGCTAGTAAATGCTGGCTATGTGAGGGTGGGATGAAGTGAGGCAGGATGATGGGCTTGCCTTTTAAATATTTTATATTCACAGACATCAATAGTATTCACTTGTGATTATAAAACTAGAAAAACACTTAAAAGTATACTCTATAGAAACAAAATAAAATTAAAGTCAATAATTACATGCACATATCTGCATACATATATACACATGTGTACATACATACATACACTACCCTTTGTGGCTAAGAACTGTGTTTAGTTTGGATTTACTAAGCTACTGTTTTGGGACAGGCTTATTCTAGCTGGGTATCCAAGCCAATATCTGCTTTTCATGTAAGTATATACTAGAATAACTAAGATAAAATATAACTTATATAAACTACACAATCTAGATATATAAAGGAATGGCACCAATTTATTAACTTTTAGATGACAGGCAGACTAATAAAAAGCCATAACTGAACTTTAGGCAAGGGCCTAATAAATTTGAAATATAATAGTGAGTTGTCTATAGTCACCAGAAGAAAAAAAAATTCCTATGAATATATTTTAAAAATTGTTTATTACAGTTTTTTCTACCCAGTGTCCTTCATTAATTCTGTACAGACATGACTTACTGCCAAATAACTTGCCCATAATGTACCTGGATACAAGTTTGACAGAATACAGAACACCCATTTCCTGCTTCATGTACAACTCACTTCATTTCTCACATTGGTAATCTAAAATTAGAATAAATCAATGCCAGTTTGTCATATACAGATCGATTGCTATTATAGTACAACACACAGCTAGCTTATTTCAAAGTATATCTGCCTCACGTAGGTCACATTCCTAATCTTGAATGGTTCCAGATAAGATTCAAGATAGTTGTTAGGGAATCTCACTTGTCTTAATTGCTGTGCTCTAGTCCATTTTTCAGACCATAATAAGTGTGTACATATTTATTTTCTTTTCAAGAAAAAGTCCAAGGTCTAAAACTATGGTTCTTTCCAAATCACAATCATCAGCAACCCCTTGGACCAGCTTTTGGATTTAGTCATCATTCAAAAACAAGACTGACTAAAGAGAAGGGTATAAAACTGTGTTCTCATTTCCAGTCACACTCTTTCAGAGTTGACTTCTCAAAAGTCAAGCATGTGAGATATATTTAAAACTTTTTCAATTTGATCTTCTAAAGGAATCAGTATTTGGATCTCTTAAATTGGTATTTTGTGTGTGCTATATGCTGGTCTAAGGCCTGAACTCAAGGCCTCAAGTTTTTATCGCATTTGTTTGCCCCCAGTTGGTGCTCTTTTTATTTGAACCATGCTTCCAGTCTGAGATATTTTTTGTTTAAATGGATTTGACAAATAAAACAAATGGAAAGTTGTAAAACCTAAGCCATTTTACATGTTTTTTTTTTTAATAGGTTTGATTTGATCTTCTTCTATTATGAAAGCCTCCTTTCAGCATAAAGGACTACAGAAGTAATTTAGGAATACAAGAATCTTCTGGTTTATAATGAGTTACTAGATCAAGTAGTATACACCTATTTCTCTTAGTTTCTGCCCTATCTAGAATGATTATTTCAGTAATTTTCTCTGAAAAATGAAAGATTACACATTGGTTAAAAAGCAAGTAATTTAGAAATTTTCTCACCCTTCACTTCACTTATTTTAGCAGTGAATTATGCATCTAATAGATATTTTAGAAAGTAAGTTGGCATTTTAGATCCAAACATATGAAAAACCAGACTCAGAGTATGTTCTAGAATTTAAACTTATGTAACAGCAAATAGAATTTAAACTCACATACCAAATGGCCAAGTTTAATCAAGGACACATTTCTGTTTTCACTGTGTAGCAGATCTACCTCAAAAGAGCTGGGCATCAATGTAATATAAAACTCCAAAATGCTTGCAAGACATAGCTAACTTGGCCATTTAAAAATCCTAAGGAGGGCTGAGAATGTGGCTTAGTGATAGAGTGCTTGCCTAACATGCATGAAGCCCTGGGCTCCATTCTTCAGTAACACATAAACAGAAAAGTGGTAGAGGGCTAGCAAAAAAAAAAAAAAAGAAAAAAGAAAAAAGAAAAAAATCCTAGCATCCTTAATCATACATAGAACTTTTCTTCTCTCCTTACTGATTAAAAGAAAGAACGTTTCAGAATAAGGTTTTTTCCTTTCTTTCTTTTTTGGCCAGTTGTGGGGCTTGAACTCAGGGCCTGGGCACTGCCCCTGAGCTTCTTTTTGCTCAAGGCTAACACTCTACCACTTGAGCCATGGTGTGCCACTTCTGGCTTTTTCTGTGTATGTGGTACTGAGGAATCAAACCCAGGGCTTCATGCATAGTAGGCAAGCACTCTACCACTAAGCCATATTCCCAGCCCCAGAATAAGATATTTTGTTGCTAAGGTTATATAGAGGAAATAAAACCTTTTCCAACTTCTCAAAAACGCTTAAATGAATGCTTCAAACCCAAAGACCTATGGTAAATCAATCACTAATAGGAGACTGGTCTAATTTTTAGGCACAAGAGAGATTGAATCTTTTTTAGTTCATTATGATGATTAGTTTATATAGATTTTGTTTATTTTTTTAAGAAAAAGTAATTATATCAAACCTTTTCCTTTCTACACAGAATACAGTCAGTAATTTAGTCAATCATAGACCTTTTGTTAACTTTAAAACTAGCAATAAGACCATAATCCCAATGAAAAGCTAGATCATTAGGTTTATGAGATACACTCACCTTAAATTATTTTGTTGGCCAGGTGGAATGACACTGTAGTAAACTGGCATTCCTGTTGTAGGCATAGATCCTTGATTAGACTGACTAGGGAACACAACAGGCTGTTGATAAGTCTGATGGGCAATTCCTTGAGAACCTTGAGGCAGTGAAACCTAAAATTTAAAAGAAAATTTAAAAAGGAAAAGGTCTTCTCAAACTTGCAAATGTTAATATTTCCGGCCTCCATAAACTTCTGTGTATGTATGTGTGTGAGGGGTAGGGTGGGAGGTGTTTGTGTTTATGTGTGGGTATGCCAGTTCTGGGGCTTGAACTTAGGGCCTGGTACCTGTCTTTGGGCTTGTTTTCCCCTCAAGGCTAGAGTTCTACCATACATGACCAAAGCTCTATTTTCAGGTTTTTGATAGTTAATTGGAAGTAGGAGCCTTATGGACCTTCCTGTTCAAGCTGGCTTCAAAGCATGATCCTCTGAACTCAACCTTCTAAGATTTGAGCCAGGATTACAGGTGTGAGCCACTGGTGCCCAGTTCCTCCACAAACTTTTAAAGTATGAGCAGTTAGGAATAAACTAATCATTGCCTTTTTTTTTTTTTTTGAAAATGTCACCTTAGTACCACCACTACACCCTCTATGGCCTTGAGCCAGCTATTGTTTTTGGCAGGTCCTTGTATATTAAGCTAAATAGAGTAGATTTTGAACATTATGTCTTGTTCCTAATATGTATATATATAATTTATTCTTAAAAAGAAGCTTTCCAACAAATGGGGCAATGTCATTTGTTCTGATGGAAGCACAGAATTCCATTGTGTATATATACCACATTTTCTTGATCCACTCATCTACTGAGGGGCATCTGGGTTGGTTCCATATCCTAGCTATGGTAAATATGCTGCAATAAACATAGTTGTGCTGGTAGTTTTAGTGTGGTCTTGTTTGTGAACATTTGGGTAAATGCCCCAAAGTGGGATTGCTGGGTCATAGGGGAGCTCTATGTGGAGTATTTTGAGAAACCTCCATACTACTTTCCAAAGTGGTTGAACAAGTTTACATTCCCACCAACAGAAATGTAAAGACTTGGAAAAAATTATATTAAGTGAAGTAAGCCAGGCCCAAAGAAACATAGGTCCCATGGTTTCCCTTCTTTGCAATAACTAGTATATGTCTGAGTCAAGCAGAAAAGGTCAGTTAAGTTGATGTTAGGGAAATGAACCCTAAGATATGTATTCAAATGTTTTTTTTCTTTCATGCGATTGTTTCTAACACATTTATAAGATTATTTCTTTGTTGCTTTGTATGTCCCTCCTCCGCGGTATAACCCCTGCTTTCACTGTATTTTATGTTGTTATAATTTGTGGAGGGGAAGGGAAAAAAACAAATCGTTTAAATAGGGATACAGGTGGACCCATTGCAACAATGAGACAGACATACAAGTCCTTATGTCGAAAAGGAACTTTACAACTTTGGTGGGGGTGGAGGGAGGATGGGATGGGAAGGGGAAACGAAGAGGCTACAATGCTTGATAAGAAAAGTACTCATTATCTTGCCCATGTAATTGTAACCCCTCTGTACAGTATTTTCACAATAAAAAAAAAAGAAGCTTTCCACATAAAGTTGACCATATGAATTGGAAAGAAATTCAGTTTACTTTAGGCAGAGCTAGGTATGACTCAGGGGGAAATATATGGAATGAGAGTGAAAGCTTTGAGTTTCAATTACGTAAGAGATCAACTCTACTACTTTACTATCTATCTGACACTGGACAAATGACAACTGTTCTGAAGATCCTCAGTTCTTTATCTGAAATATTAGAAATTCAACAAAGAGGAGATGGTATTGCTTCTATTATGAGACAGCACAACTAAAGAATCTAGTACAGTAGGAATGGAATGTAAGCAGTTCTGTGGATTGATTTTTTTTTTTTGGTGCCAGTCCTGGGGTTTGAACTAAGGGCCTGGGCACTGTCTTTGAGCTTTTTTTGCTCAAGGCTAGCACTCCACCACTTGAACCCCAGAGCCATTTCTGGCTTTTTCTGTTTATGTGATACTGAGGAATCACCCAGGGCTTTATCCATGGTAGGCAAGCAGTCTACCACACTAAGCCACATTCCCAGCCCCTCAATTCTGTTTTCAATATATCTTCAAGAACCTTAGGGACATAATGGATCCTTCAAGTCTCTTGTTTCTAAAATAAAAATGCCTATTTTACAAATATGCTATTACACACTCTCTCTCTCCCCCCCCCTCCAGCTTTGGGGCTTGAACTCTGGTCCTGGGCGCTGTCCCCCTGCTCTTTAGCTCAAGGCTAGTGTTCTACCACTTGAGCTACAGTGCTATTTCTGGTTTTTCTGGTGGTTTATTGGAGGTAAGAGTCTCATGGACTTTCCTGTGTGAGCTGGCTTTGAACCGCGATCCTCAGAGTAGCTAGGATTACAGGCGTGAACCACTGGCGCCTGGCTCAATGCCATAATATTACAGATGGGTTACAACAAAATTTTGTTAAGATGACATAGTGGTGAGTTAACATTATTGAGTATTTACTGCCACGTATCATGGTTTCAGTGCTTAATGTGTACTGTCTCATTAAAGCATCCTAAAAACCCATGAAGGTACTTGGATCACCTGTTTTATTTACATTTTAGTGCCAATACTGGGGACTGAACTTAGGGCCTCACACTTTCACTTGGTGATATTGCTCACTTGAGCCACATCTCTGCTTCCTGCTTCCTGCTTTTTTTGTGGTTAATTAGCTAAGAGATTCATGAACTGGGATGCCTGGGGTGGCTTTAAATTTTGATCCTCAGATCTCAGCCTTTTCACTAGCTATGATTACAAGTACGAGTCATCAGTGCCCAACATGTTTAATGTGTGTGTGTGTATGTATATGTTAATCCTGGGGCTTGAACTTAGGGCTGAGGAAAGGGAGGCAAGATGGTGTTTAAAGCCAGTCTGGACTACATAAAGACTGTGTTTCAAAAAAATAAAACCCACCAGAGTATATGTGGTGGCATGGTTCAATTTTTTTTTTTTTTTGGGTCCAGTTGTGGGGCCTGAACTCTGGGCCTGGGCGCTGTCCCTCAGCTCTTCAGCTCAAGGCTAGCGCTCTACCTCTTGAGCCACAGTGCCACTTCCGACTTTATTCTTTTTGCTTATGTGGTGCTGGGGAATCGAACCCAGGGCCTCATGCATTGCAAGGCAAGCGCTCTACCACTGAGCCACCGGCATGGTTCAATTGTAAAGGGCCGGCCTATCAAGTGCAAGGCTCAGAGTTCAACACCAGTTCTGCCAAAAATCAACATACCAACTAAACACCCAAATCAACAAATGAACAGAAAAGATGCATTGTAGCTATAGTTTTTGTTTTTGTCTTTTTAAAGATAAGGTCTCACTATAATAGCACTAGCAGGTCTATAACTTCTGTAACTTGTTATGTAGACCAGGAAGGCCTTGAAGCCATGAACTTTCTAACTCATCATCCCTGGGACTACAAATGTGTGCCACCATTTTTGGTGTAGCTATTCATTTATCTGACCATATCTAACTGGATAGAGCAGGTTAAGACACAACATACCTGATATGATGGCACTGAAGGATAGGGGATGACTACTCCTTGAATCTGATTTCCAAGGCTGTTTGGTTGGCCTGAAACGAGGCTCTGACTCTGGGGTTGCTGTACTCCAACTATTCCTTGGTAAGTTTGCTGCTGGTTGGGCATTACTTGAAAACCTGTAATGGCAAAGTGAGTTAAATCCTGCTATAATTTAATTTCATCTAATATAATGGTTATTGTAAGCAAGTTCTCCTATGTTCTATAATAACAGAATTTTATTTAACGCAAATCTTAAAAACCTTCTACTATGTAACATTTAAAACATTTTCAACTGAGTCGTGGTGGCTCATGCTTGTAATCCTATCTACATAGGAAGCTGAATTCTAAGGATTGTGGTTCGAAATCAGTGCAGGCAGAGAAGTCTGTGACACTTATTTCTAATTACTCACCAAAAGAGCTGTAATTGGAGCTGTGGCTCAAGCAGTAGAGTGCTAGCCTTGAGCATGAAAGTTCAGGGACAGTGCTAGCCCCTGAGTTCAAGCTCAGGACTGAAGTGCATGCGTGTGTGCACATGCACACGTGCACACGCGCGCACACACACACACACACACACACACACTCACAAACACACAGAAAACCAAAACAATAAACATTTCCTATTAGGGAAAGCCAATATTCATCCTTACTGAGCTAAATACATTAGAATATAATTTCTGGTGGGCACTGCTGGCTCATGTCTATAATTCATGCTACCTAGGAGGTTAGAAGCCAGCTTGAGCAGAGAAATCTGTGAGACTCCATCTTCAAAATAGTAAAAAGCCAGGCTATACATAATGCTCAAGTGGTAGAGTGTCAGACAATCAAATGTGAGATTCTGACTTCAAACTTAGAACAAAAGCCTCACAAAGAACAATCTACAGATTACTTCTATAGTTGAGAAAATTTATAGGGCCACATACCTGGTTAACAGCAGACAACTACTATTCAGTTTGCATTCCAATTGTTTATGACAACTAATCTCTCTAGAGGACATGATTAGTGGGGCCCAGTATAAAAGAAAAAGATGTTCCTTTTCAGAAATAAACTAAGAATTTCAAATGCGCAAGAGCAGAACATAAAAATAAGCACAACAGTTCTGTATAAGTACAGAGGTTGTATGCCAGGGATTAAAATGAGTGTGTATGTATATATTGGGGAGTGGTAAAGTTTTAATAACATTTCTTTTTCTTAAAAATAATTATCAGTAATATAAGGAATGAATTCCTTATATTAGGAATGTGTCAAAGACAAAGCAAATTGATACTGAAAGACTATAAATTTTAGATTATTTTCTAATGGTATTACTAAAATCACTTGACAAATTATTAGGAATTAAGTAATCTAATTAATTTAGCCTCTAAGTTGAAGATAGTATTCACATTGTGTATGTGTGTGTGTCCTGGGGCTTGGGCATTGTCCCTATGCATATTTGGCTTAAGGCTAGTAGTGCTCTACCACTTAAGCCACAGCTCTCCTTCTGGCTTTTTGGTGGTTAATTGGAGATAAGAATCTAACAGACTTTCCTATCCAAGCTGGCTTCAAACCCTGATTCTCAGATTTCAGCCTCCTGAGGTAGCTAAGATTGCAGGGATAAGCTATCTGTGCCTGGCTAAGTATTGGTAATTTAAGGAGTAAGAAGATACAGGACACAAGCCAGGAATGAGTTCATGCTTGTAATCAAGCTACTCAAAAGGTTGAGGAAGGGCTGTGGTTCAAAGCTAGCTTGGGCAAAAAGTTCATGAGATTTTCATCTCAACTAAAAAAGCTAAGCATGTTAGTACAAAACTGTCATCCCAGCTTTGGATAGAAGTACATCTAGACTGGACAAAAAGTGAGACCACATCCCAATCAATAAACCAGGCATGGTGGATCACAAATATAATATGGGAGGTAAAGATAATAGGATTGTGGTGGTCTGAGGGCAGTCCTGGGCAAAACCATAAAACTCTATCTAAAAAATAAAGCATTAAAAATGCAGGAGGCATGGTTCACGTGGTATAGTGTCCCTTTTATATAGTGAACTTATTTTTGTAAATAAAAATAAGCTTTGAGTGGCAAACATTAACTGCATTTTGTTTCCTAATCTTGAATATCCCTTTATGTACACTGATGAGATCAAGTCTCATAAATTATTAACATTAAAAAAACCCCAAAGAGGGCTGGGATGTAGCTCAGTGGCAAAGCACTTAGCTAGCAAGTGCAACGTCCTGGGTTCGATCCCCAGTACCACAATAGAACAGACTAAAAAAACAAAAAAAAAAAAAAAAAAAACCCACCCAAAGACTTATGGTAACACCATTTACCTTCAAAGAACTGAAAAAAGATTTTTACAAAGATGAACTGAATTCTAGCCTTCACAATCTGCACAAATTTTGACTGGTAAAGATTGATTAAATTAGCCAAGTGCTGGTTGCTCACACCTGTAACCCTACTCAGAGGGTTGAGATCTGAGGATAGCTGTTCAAAGCCATCTGGGGCAGTTAAGTCCATGAAACTCTTATCTCCAATTAACAACCAAAAAGCTGGAAATGGAGCTGTGGTTCAGGTGGTCGAATGCTAGCCTTGATCAAAAAGCTCAGTGACGGATTCCAGGCCCTGAGTTTAAGCCCCAGGATCAGAACAAAAAAAAGACCAATAAATTATTCCCCTGAAATATTTTGTTATATCAATTCTTATTAATCTTTAAAGGGAGAGTTTAGAAACTACAAAGATACCTCAGATATTGATTACTGACAAAAGCATTACAGTAGTTGCTTAGAAACCTTACTGATTTTGCTCAAGGAATAAATAGTTGAATAAAATCTAGCACCCATTTTCTCTAAAATTATAAAAACAAAGTTTTTCTGACAACTAAGCAATATATTAACAAAGTTAAAAGTCCACAATGCTGAATTCTCTAACAGTAAAAGGTCTTGCAAAATGCTATTTCTATGAAAACAGTGCTAAATAGCCATGTCTTAAATGACATGTATCTAGTTCTTTACCTATGTAAGAAATTGATATGATTCGCTAAACCCTTTTCCTTTATGTACTTTCTATACATGAACTTAGAGGTTGATTAAAAAAAAAAGATAGAAGAAGAAACTTCTCAGTTTTCAATCTAAAAATTAACATTACTCTCAAAAGTTAGCTAATCAAAAGACAAATATACAAATTACAAGTGCACAGACATTTAGGAAAATAAAGGACAGGAATGGAAATGGAATGTGATGAAAAGACTGTTGAAAATGTCAGTTCACAACATACATACACACATAGCTTCTACTGCAGTGTCAGAATGTAGATTCAGCTCTGTATAGACTGGGAAAATGCTTTTTGATAATGGAATTGGCTGCTGAAGTACAGTCTTCTAATAAATACAACAAATTGTATATTTGGTAGAATTTACTGTTATAATCACACATTATATTTCCCTTGGTTGCACTCCCACAAGAAATTTCAAATTTTTGCATGCTACGTTTTTTGGTGGTATCTGGGATCAAGCAGCCTAACACTGAGGCAAATTTCCAGTTTATGTATTACACTTCAAGGTTACAGATTTTATTTTAAAAAATCAAATCAAAACCAAAAAATCCTGTCTGTAATCCTACCTACTGAGAAGGTTGAGATCTAAGAATTGTGGTTCAAAGCCAGCCTGGGCAGAAGACTCATATCTCCAATTCATCAGCAAAATGCTGGAAGTGAAGTTGTGGCTTAAGTGGTAGAGTGAAAAAGCTAAGGGATAGCACCTAGACCCTGCATTCAAGCCCCAGTACTGGCACAAAAACAAAGTAACAAAAAATACAAACAAAACCAAACAACTCTGTACTGGTCACAGACAGCTCGTGTATAGGCAGCTGAAGATTCTTATCTCCAAAATAATCAGCAAAAAGCAGGAATAAAGGTATGAATCAAGTGGTTGGAATGCCAGTTGAACAAGATGAGTAGTAGGAGGCTGATTTCAAACCTCAGTACAAGCAAAAACCCCATTTTGAAAATTATAAGGCTTTTTGTATGCAAATATGGTTCTGATTTTTTTAAACTTGCCTAAATTTACCCATGTGAGAGTTGTCTTAGAGATATTCTGCCTCAAATTCTCTCATGAAAACAAAGTCAGGCATACAAAGTTTTTAATATATTACTATAGAAACAATGTCACAGTGATTTAATACGGGGTCATTTGGATATGATACCACAAGATTTCCATTAGTGGATCTTCATTAATAATCCGTACTTAATTGCAATATATATATCCACACTAAAACTATCTGTATTTTTTTGAAAATGTGACAATGTAACACAAAGTCTAAAATAAATGACTTTAATGAACCTGGTCTTAGTTACAGAGGACACTGTACTTGCCAGCTGGGTTATATAGAAAGATGAGTATAATATAGTTCTGTTTTAAAAATTAGGATTCTTGCCAGGTGCCAGTGGCTCATGCCTGTAATCCTAGCTACTCAGGAGGCTGAGATCTGGGGATCACGATTCAAAGCCAGCAAGGAAAGTCCATGCGGTTCTCATCTCCAATTAACCACCAGAAAACTGGAAGTGGCGCTGTGGATCAGGTGGTAAAGTGCTCACCTGGAGCTGAAGAGCTGAGGGACAGTGCCCAGGCCCAGAGTTCAAGCCCCATGACCGATCAAAAAAAAAAAAATTAGGATTGTTAGTGTTTTAAATAGTTTTGAGAAAGAGGGACACATTAACTCTGATTGATATGAAGGTTGTAGCTTTTTGAATAAAGAAAAAGAGAACCTTACCAAAAAATGTAAAAAAATAATTTTGAGATGACATTGTCTAAAATGTACTCATGACTTATGTAACTGTAACCCCTCTGTATAACACCTTTATAATAATAAAACTAAAAAAATTAAAAATAAAGAACCACTGTAGCAGTAAAATTGCAAAAAAAAATTTTTGAAGACTAGGAAAGATGAGTGGCTGAACATGGTACATAAAGTGAAAAGCAGGACAGAAAAGAATATGTGTGGAGCACCAAAAATTGCACATGTGGAGTGGTTAAAAACTAGCAGGAGGTTCCAGATTTTAAAGGTTCCAAAGTAGAAAAAGCACTTAATTCCGAAGTTGAAGTAGCATATATATAGTGGGAGTATGTCCTTGAATAAATCTATTAAAAATAAGAAAGCCCGGTGATGGT